AATTCTTTGTCCTCAAGGAGCTACCTTCCAGTGGGGGATGAAAGATGATTAACCAATAAAAATAAAATAGGTTTGGTGGTGTTGAATACTGAGAAGTAAAAAGGAAGCAAAGTAAGGGAGATGGAGAGAATGGGGAGGGTTGCTTTATATAGGATAATTAGGAAGTCCTCCTTAAGAAATGACATTGGATCAGTGTCCATAAAAAAAGTGAGACAGTGGGCCATTCATTCATGCATCTATTCATTCAACAGTTGTTTATTGAACATGTTCCAGACACTGAGGATACAGCAGAGAGTAAAAGAGACATTCCACTCTAGGCTCCTGGTCCTCTCCCTGGCAGCACACACCTGCTCTGTTCTACCCAATGGCTTGAAGACCGAATTGTTTGGGAAGGGAAGGAAGAGGAAGAGCCACTCTTAACATTTTCATAAAGACTTAAAATATCTAAAATTAATCAATATCTACTTTCCTCCAAAATAACAAGACTTGTTCAACTTTCTCTGTTCACCACTCCCATCTTAAATGTTTACCGATTTTTAAGTTCATTTTGTTATTTTTACTTTCTCAAAGGAATCATTATTATTAAAAATAGTTTTGAGTAGTTATAATTTGTTTAGATTAATCCATATGTTTTCTAAATGTTCACTTACCAGTTCTTCTTGCATCTCACTATTTCCTTCTAGGTTCATTTTTCTTCTTAGGTACATGCTTCAAAATTTTCCTTAGTAAGGGTGCTAGTGGTTAACTCCCTGTTTTTGTCTGTCATCTGAAGATGTCTTTAATTTGCCCTCCTTTTTAAAGCATAATGGCTTTATTCAGATATAATTGATGTGCCAAAATCCATGCCTTTAACAGTTCAGTGTGTTTAGAGTATATTTACAGAGTTGTGCAATTATCACCATTGTCTAATTTTAGAACACTTTTGTCATCTCAAAAAGAAACCTTGTACCCATTGGCTGTCACTTCTCATTCATTCCCCTCTCTCTCCAGCCTCCGGCAACCATTAAACTACTTTCTGTCTCTATGAATTTGCCAATTCTGGACATTTCTGGACATTTCATATAAATGGAATCATACATATGTGTTCTTTTGTGTCTGGCTTCTTTCACTTTGCATAATGTTTTCAAGGTTCATCTATCTGTAACATGTATCAGTATTTCATTTTTTATGGCTAAATATTTTTTTGTACCACATTTTGTTTATCCATCATCTGTAGATGTACATTCAGGCCATTTTCACTTTTTTGGCAATTTTGAATAAAGCTGCTTTGAATATTTGTGTACAAGTATTTGTGTGAGCACATGTTTTCAGTTCTCTTGGGTATATACTTAGGAGTGGAATTGCTGGGTCATACAGTAACTCTATGTTTCACTTTTTGAGGAACTGTCCAAATGCTTTTCACAGCAGCTGCACCATTTTACATTTCCAACAGCAATGTATAAGGGCTTCATTTTCTCCACATCCTCACCAATGCTTTAAAAAAAAAAAAAAGCAGTCTTAGAGTGTAGGAGATGGTATATCATTTTGTATGTCCTATCTTGTGAACTTATTTTAACACAAAGTGTGGCTTACCGTGCACACACTATACACTTGCTTTTTCCACTTAACAATGTATCGTGGAGAGTATGTTAGTACATATAAGACTGCTTACTCTTTTGCTAGCTTTATGGTAACCCATTCTATGAATGTGCAATCTAGTACTAAAAACTTACTTAACCAGTCCTCTACTGATAAGCTGTTCTATTTTTTCTCACTCTTTTGCTACTACAAACAGTGCTGCCATGATTGCCTCTACGTACTCCATTCTCTGCATGCAGGAGCTTATCTGCAATAATTATTCATACAAGTGGAATTCTAGGTTAAAGCACATGGGCATTCTTTTATTTTTGTAGATATTACCAAATCAATTTCCATAGAGACTGCACCAATTTATATTCACCAGCAATGTAGGGATATGTTCTTTAAATGGACTCTGGATCATAACATCAAATTGTGAAGATATTGCATTTTTAGTATGGTACTTCTGTGCGGGCCGACTATGGAATCACTTCTTTTGAGGGGCTTGGGGACAAGGGCACAGCTCATAAGAAGGTTTCTTTTGTTAGCCATTTCCAAGGCAGTAAGACCTGACGAGAGTTTGTCTTGGGGCCCTATCTAGTCTTTCTTGGTGGGTACTCATTGAAGATATTGGGTAAGATAATCTTTTTTTTTTCATTTATTCCTTCAATCAACAAATATTTATTGAAAGACTGCTATGTGGTGCTAGGTGCTAGGATGAAATGAAAATAAAACCAGACCATGTACTTCTTTCACTGATGTTTTCGGGCTTTGGAGGAGAAGCAGACATAAATAAAACTCAGGGTAAGGTAACGAACAGGGAGAGAAATGTATATCATTCTCCTGGAGCTTGTAGCAAGGGTCTGAGTGTCAGCAAAGGGTTCCCAAAGGAAACTTGTTTGAATTGAGATATGAAAGATGAGTACAAGACTAGCTAAAGGGAAGTCTCTTTTTCCTTTGATGGAAAAATGTATTTGACAAATAAAGAAGGGAGGTAATAATACCTATCTCACAGGGTGGTTATGAGAATTAAGTTAAATAATATATATAATGCATTTAGCAAAATGCTTGTCACGTGTCAGTTACTCAGTGAACGCTTATTTCCTTTACATTCTTCCATTCACTCATGGCGGAAGTTAAAATTCCAGATGCCCAAGTAAAGTATTGCCACCTTAGTTACGATCTTTATATTTCTCTACCGCCCAGTTCTCTCTCTTCCTCCATTTTTGGGCTCCCAAGCACTGTGGAACATAGTCTATCTTAAGAGCTGATTAGATTAATAATCTCCATTTATTTTGCCCTTAATCTATACTAAGTAGTTTATATCCGTTACTTAATTTAATCTTCATAATGATCTTAGTAGGTAAAAACTATTATTACTCCTATTTTATGAGCGAAGAAACCAAGACAGAGCTCAAGGACAATAGCTAGCAAATTAAATCCGAGGAATTTCTAACTTTCTGTTTTATATAGTATTTTCCCATTTTACGATTAGGATATTCAGGCTCAGAGAAATTAACTTGGCCAAGGCAAAGACAGGACAAGAATTCTCATATAGGTAGGCCCAGATGATGGTTTAATAATATTTGCATTTTATAGATGGCCACACACAGGGCTATATTCACCCAAATCCTGGTTGTCTCCATCTGGCTTGATCTTTAGAGAATGGAAGTGAATAAGGGGGTGGGGAGAGGAGGAGGG